TTTTTTTTATATTTAAATAAAATATTATGAATAGAGGCAATATTATCCAGCAGTAGTAAAAATCTTTGTACGGGTAGTCAATGCGATCAAACAAAGTCTGTTGGTAAAGAACCGACTGACATGAAAGCAACAAGTAAGATATATTTTCATTGACTCAACCGAATATATATATATTTTTTTTATACAGCTTCACCATCCGATGATTACATGGAAAAGCGCTTGAAAGCATTTGCATTGCTCGAAGGACGTGAAATTAACCTAAAAAGTCTTCCTTCAAATCATCCTGATTTAACTACTTCATCTAATAATATCGGTAGTGATTATTACAATATGAAAGACTACTCATAAACGCTCTCATATTTTGAACGTGCTCTTGACATATACCAGTGCACATTACCTCCAACACATCCTAACATCAAAGATGTGAAAGAGAGTATCAAAATTGTAAAAGAACAAATTATAAAGAATAGTTGATAAATAAATAAAAGAACGTTCATTCACTTGTTTTTGAATTAATTCTAGTTTGTAATGACTCGCGCAGACGTACAGAGAACAACTCTTTAAATAGCAAAAACGTAATGAACAAAGCGGGGTGTGAATGTGGGTCCGAGATGAATAGGATACCTACATCTACACCCAACCCTCAGATCCACACCCTCAACATTTGCATAGTTTTGACATTTTGTACGTAATGTACATACGTTTATTTTAAAATACAAACACTATCAACTATCACATTGAAGATTGTTGAAACCACAAATAAAAATAGCTTTTACAGTAAATGTATATTTTAATCTTGTTGATTTTGATATATGAAAAAAGTCAGGATATTATCTTTATAAAAGAGGCGTACAATAATAGATATGCCAATATCAAATTGTCTATCAAAAATCGATTAATTAAAATTTTGATGAGCTGATTTGATGAAAATATACGTTCGAAGATATGCCTTCTGTAAATTAACGTACTGAAGATGAAATTGATCAATCAAACATCAAATATATATTAGTAATTATTGAAAAAGTTCTTATTGTTGAATAGATTTGAAATATGATACTATCATTGTTGCACTAAAAATCAGTGTTAATTATCATTAATAGCGTTGTATATAAACTTGCAGAGAAAACAAAACATTGTCATAGATTTTAACGCCTCATAAATAAATACATAAATAATATTCTTCTAACGCATCATTAATTCACTATCAAAACTATTAACCCTTGGAAGTTTTTGTACGCTCCAGTGGATAAACATGCCTCAGTTTTCTTTAATCTTATATCAAATATATCATGAATCTGAAGCTGAACCTGATAGTTTCTCGATCAGTTTTCGGCCAGTTCTCTGATTTTCTCAAAAATACTATGCCATTCAAAATCAGGTAAAACCAGCATTAACTTAGCAATTAACATGACAGCATACACTAAATAGCTTTTTTCTTTTCATCCTATTCTATATGACATCTACTAATCATCTTTTATGTTAGTTCGTTTCGCACCATTAACACACAATAGCTGGTAACTATGTTCTATTGATGTCAGATCAATCTATAAGAAAAAATACATGACAAAATCACAAATAACACTTTGAAATTGTACTACCGCATTTCTTTCAGTTCAGACTACAGTTTAAATAAGAATCAACATATCACGATCATTTTATAGTAAAAGACGTAGAACAAGATCTACATTTTAGTAAACATAGTTTCATCACAATCAAACAATTTTATTATCATTTTTAAGTTACCCATACAATAAAATCCTAATGAGATGATGAACATATTCTTTTAGTTTAACATCACAGTATTTTCATAAGTAACGCTTATGATTCTGCCAATCGTTTATTCTTTAGAATAAGTGCATTCACACGATTTAGAACATTTTCCTCGATTTTATTGTAGTTGAGATCCAGTTTGGTCAGTGTCTGTGTGAAAAAGTGCATATGTGTGTATGAGATAGTTTAAGAGAGAATGAGATTTACTGTATTGTTTTTTAATGAATCAGCAAAATATTGTGCTCCCTCGTCTCCGATTTGATTGCT